ACAGTCACACATATCATACGTTGTTATTTTCATGAGACCCTGGGCTACTCAGATATGCCATTGTTTGACATGTAAATGCAAACAGATATTTGATATCTTTATGAATTTGGGTCATTTTTGGTCAAAAATTTACCCAGCGCCTTTTTTTTTTTTTATTTTTGCTTATAGAGATCTTGAAAACACCTGCACCTCAGATACTTTTACAGAAATAGTTAGTCTGGAGTGTCTGTGAGCTGAAAGTGCAATCATTTTTGATTGTGATTCATTCTGTTGGTAATTATGAGCAAAAATAAACAATTAGCATAAGACGGACATGTTTTTTATTGATTTTCTATCCTCTTGGATTCAGACTGAGTGCGAAAACTCTGATACACAGCAAGACAGGATTTATTTTTAATTACAAATTTAGTTGCATATTTAATATCAGATATTTTTAATACTTAAAATCAGTGTAAACTGAAAGACAGAGATAAATATTATTAACTTCATGGATGGTCGCTGAGATTCTGACCCGAATCAGCTCTCCTGCTCCATCCTGCCATGCCAGGGCTGGTCATTCCCTCAGGGATGCTCTGCCAGAGGGGGTGGGGTGGTGGTGCACAGCTGTTAAATAAGACACTGAGCTGTACAGCGTGACTCACTGACCGGCTGAACTCTCTGAGCGCTGGCTGCTCCTGCTCGAATTCGCCACTGACCGTAAGTAGAGAACCAATTCTTTCTGTCATTTTTTGTTGTTTATCTTATTTACTTCTCCGCTTGTTTAATTATACGTATTGAAAACCAATGTAATATGCTGCACACTGCATTTGCTTCAAAAGGGTTGAAAAGCTGCATCCATTTAAGTGTTCTTTTATGTTTAGTGGCCTGTTCGTTTTGAGAAAGGAATTATTCTTGTAGGTCCATATAAATGAAATCTAAATTTTACTAAAGTTCCAGTTTGCTCTGTTAAACTAGGTCATTATAAGCCACTTATTAAATTTCTTAATTTTTTAACTTTTGTGATAACAGGATAGATATCTCTGATAATACAGCACCGCATGTACAACCTCAAAGTGTTCCTTAGCGATACAATTCTCAAGAACACAAACACAACACATCAAATATGGTTTATCGTCCACAAATGGTACATTAGGTCTGTTTATGACATCAGTATAAAGCTTAGTCTAAATATAACAAACTAAACAATGGCTTTAAAACGCTCACCTTTTTCAAAATAAGGCCATAATAAATGTTTTGATTTCCCAATTTTATGTCACTGCATTCATCCTTATCTTTTCTCATTAAACAGGAGTGTGTTAATCAGCCAGTGGGGTGAGTGTCATCGCCACAAGGACACCAGGTGTGTTATGAGCAGTTGGGAGTGATAATGTGAACTGCAGTTTGACACATTATACACAGTCTGATGGTTCTCTGTGGTAACACATGAGCAACTGTTATTTAGTTGAATGCAAAGTTTGCATGGTTCAAACTGTGTATTGAACTAGAAATGAAAATTTGGGAACAAACAAACAAATAATGTTGAAAAGTTAAAGCAGTTAAATAATATTTTGAAAAAACTTAAAACTTAAAGCAGTTGTAGCTGATTTTTTACTGAATTAGGTTTCTATAGTAGTGAATTGGGTTGTTTATGCTGTGTTTATGATTGATTTTTGTTGCTGGTTTGTTCAAACAGCAGTTGGTGTGGTGTTCCAGGTAGTTGCTATGGTGCTGCTATGTGGTTGCTATGTAGTTACTATGGCATTCCAGTTGGTTGCTAGAGCATGGCTAGGTTGTTGCTAGGGTATTGTTAGGTGGTCACCAGAGTGTTACCACATGGTTGATGTAGCATTTCAGGTTGTTTTTAGGGTGTTGCTTGGTGGTTGCTAAGTGGTCTGACAGCAATTATATGACCACAACCTTTTATTGTCTTACTTCTGGCAATACATGTGCTGATACAATGCATTTGTTTGCAAAATATGTAATTAAAAGGTTATTAACAGAACTAAAAGTGTATCTTATACACATTGCTCCAAGAACCTTTATTTTTAGAAACTCAATCCATCCACTTTTTTAGTAAGTGTAGTTGGAGTGTTTACTGAACCCTTACGAACAGAGGAGGCCTACATGTAGTACAGCTGGACACCCAACAAAGGGCTTAGCATCGTTTATGTTTCTTTTGCTTGGTGAAAACAGGTAAATCCCTGCGAAAGTCTTTATCCCATTATTCTTTATCCCCTTACTCTTTATCTCCTTATTCCAGGTGGTTGCTAATGTGCTGACCAACTAAAGCCAACTTAAGAAGAAAACAAAGAAGAGTAAGTTGACTTTTTATGTTGTTACTTCCTCAAAATAACATCATAAAAACCACCAACAACCGAACATGAAGAGTTTCACAACAAAATATGTTTAGTATTACAGATAAAAACCTATATAGCACAATAAAATATTGTCTAATAGCAATGGAATTCATTTATTATCGTATAGCACTGAAATTTCATGTGTGTGTAAAGCTCACTCCCAACAGCTTATTTCACTACACTCTCAAAAAAGATGGTTCTTTAGTACAGAAAATGGTTCTATATAGAACCATGAACACTTTTGTATGACTAAAGGGTTCTTTGCATCATGAAATGGTTCTTCAGATTGATGGACAGTCTGTTGTATAGGGTTCTATATAGCACCTATATAGCATATATTGTTACGATGTCAAGCTTGTAACAATAGAAGAACACTTTTTGGTGCTATACAGAATCATTGTCAAAAAGGTTTTGTATAGAACCATATACAACACAACACATAGAACCATTCCCTTTACTGAAGAAGCCTTAAAGAACTCTTTTTAAGTGTTTGGACTGTTCTAAATAGGACAACCAAAGCACATTCTCCATCAATCTGAAGAACCTTTTCATGATACAAAGAACACTTTAATCATGCAGAGGGTTCTTTGAGTGTTCATGGTTTGATACAGAACCATCTTATTTAAATGTGTATAAAAACGAAATTGGTGAAAATGCAATTTAATGCATTTTGGAACCAAATCAAAACCCTTAAATGTGTGCATGTATGTATTTATTTTGTGTGATTGCACAGAGTGGGACACAGCCCACCCTAAACTCATAAAGCATCATTCCAGATGTTGCTTATACTGAACATGCAGATGCCACAACTGTAAATGTCCAAGGCACTGGATAAAATAATGGACACTGGAAAAAAGTGATGCATGAATGAACTTGATTCAAATGCGTTAAATGCATCATTTACACTTGAATAAAATGCATGACAGCAACACAGTTACTGCCAAAAGTAAGCAAACTGGAAAATAAGCCTGTATTAATGTAACATACAGTGGTGTGCAGAAGTCACCATTGATCAAATTACAGCATCTTTAAGGTGAAAAGAAGTTAACACATCCTCTACAGCCCATCTGTCAAGGCCCGCGGGTCGGATCAGGTCTGCGACACAATCCTTCCTGGCCTACAAAAGTATTTTCATTTTCTGTTAATATGAGCTTGTTTCACCATGCGCTGCACTACAGTCCCCAGCATGCACTGCAACATACTGACTCTGACTTTTATACCCTAACAACAATCTATGGGACATCGGTTACACCTCAATTCTACACAATTCTACACAGGTCCACACCAGTCTTATCACCAAAATGCATTTCAGCTGCAGTTCAACCAACATAAACAATTCAGCTCAGCTCAGCAGCTCAGAAATGTTCAAGCATTAATGAACTTGCAGCAAAGAAAACATGCCAGGTTTCCAGTTCAAGCGGATAGTAGGTTTAAAGGACCCCTGGGGACATTTAAATATAGAATATATCAAGTATTCATGTAATATTTCAAGGTCGACTACAAGTGCCTATATTTTACTGCTTAAGTTTTTGTGTATTTTTGAATAAACAATGGCCAGTTTGGGTTACGGCACAACGTTAATTAAAAATGAAATAAAAACATTTTTTTTTCTGGCCCTCAGATTTGTTGAGATTTTTTAATATGTTTAATATGTTAGTGGTTAAGTTTTACACCCCTGATCTACAGGGAACACATCTGACGTTCTTAATTTTTGATGTAAGTGAAAGTAAGATAACAACATGTAAGTAATATAACAAGAGATTTTAAGTACTTTTGGAGCATTTCTATTGGTCCATTCATCATAACTTATATTCACATAATGTAAAGGGCAGCTGGCATTTTCAAATTAGTAAATATAAGAACTATGAAAAATAGAAAAAAAACTAATGGAGTTATGAGGTTTTGGTCCAACAGTAATGATTTATTGTATGAACTCAGCTTTGTTCTTGTCCTAATTCTGGCAATACTTGTGCTGATGTAATGCACTCATTTGCAAATGATGTAACTGAAAGGTTATTAAGAGAACTAAAAGTGTGTCTTGTATCACATCGCTCCAAAGAACCTTTCGTTTTAGGAACATACTCATCCGAATCAGATAAACTCAATCCATCCACTTTTTTTCAGTAGGTGTAGTGCTACTGTAGACTGAAGTCATTCTGAAGAGCAGAGGAGGCCTACATGCAGCACAGCTGGACGCCCAACAAAGGGCTTAGCATTGTTTATGTTTCTTCTGCTTGATGAAAAGAGGCAAATCCCTGCGAAGGTCTTTATCCAACTTTTTATGTGATCTGTGGATGTTGCTGTGGCTTTTCAAACAGCTTTCTGAACAATCCCACTTCATCCCCTGAAATGCTACTTTTAAATGTCACGCTCAGACTTCAGCTCTTACTTATTTATTTATTTATTTATTTAATTATTTATTATTTTCAGTGAGCCTTTACATGTATTCAGGTTAGAGGTTGTACTACATCCTAATAAGTGCATTATAAGGAGGATTTTACTGCATGTTTGACTTCATTGTTTGGATGCTGTGCATGAAAAGCTGTTGGTATGTGACCTCTTGGTTTGTGGTGTGTCTTGTTTTCTCTTAGTGCGGCAGTAGGGCTAATCCTTTAAGACACTGTTGGCTCTGCCGGCTTGGACTGGAGGAATAAAAATCTTCCTATGATCCCTGAGCCAAGAGAAGAGTCGATCACACTGGATCTCGGCACCTCCTACTGGAATTCGGCCGAGAGCACCGGGCAGGCCAACAGAATCAGTAACAAGGTAAGCGGCAAAAGAGTAGCTTCACTGTTATGACTTGTTTGCTGTATATAGGCCCAGTCCTATTTCTTATTTTTTACCCCTACCCCTTGTTTTCGAGTGTCACTTTGCCCCTTGGAACTGAGTTACAGAGGGTAGTGATTGAAATCTTCCCCTATGAAATGGGACCCTCTAAAAAGAGCATTACTACATTAACAGTCTACTAGCAGAGGGGGGTAAAGTTCAGCTCCTCACTGCTGGGCTTTAGTTACATTTAGGGACTCAAAGAGGGGGGCAATTATTTATTATCACCCACCCCTAATTCTTCAGTGATATGAAGCTGAAGTCAGATATTCTCCAGTTTCCTGTTTGAATTTTCCAGTTCCACCTTAAATGGAGCCGCAGTTACATTCTGGCGCTTCAGGTGTCAGAACTGCTGGACTATTTAAGGTGGAACGGGTAATTCAGCTAGCTAGCTACCTAAACATTAGCATACTATTTGTGATTTTTTTTATGCTTGTTATGAAGAAAATGACCATAATACACTGAAACGACATTAAACTAAGATAATATGATTGTTATCTTAACTTTGTAACAGAGAAAAAACTTACATTTGTGGGTTTCCTTGGTCGCTTGCATAGCCAACTTTTTTTTTTCTCATAACACTGTTTGGAGTGAACCTCAGCTTGGAGGGCCATGTAGTCCTAACACTTCGCCCTACCCCTCTATCTCAACAACAATCAGGACACTCTACCCCTAGGCATGAACATGCAAAATGAAGGGCTAAGGGCAAAGGGGTGAAATGGGATTGGGCTGTACACTCACCGAGCACTTCATTATGACCACCTCCTTGTTTCTACACTCTTTGTTCATTTTATCAGCTCCACTTGAATGAATGAAAGAAATGAGCCTTTTAGCCAACTGTGTCTGATCGGAATTAGACCTCCACATTTAACCCATCCGTGCAGTGAAACACCACATGCACACTAGTGAACACACACACTAGGGGGCAGTGAGCACACTTGCCCAGAGCGGTAGGCAGCCCTATCCATGGCACCCGGGGAGCAGTTAGGGGTTAGGTGCCTAGGCACTTCAGTCACGTACTGTCAGCTGAGGGGACTGAACCGGCAACCTTCCGGTCACAAGGCTGGTTCCCTAACCTCCATCCCACGATTGCCCCGTTGTGGTAGTTTGTAGGAGCATTTTGTAGTCCTACAGTTACAGACTGTAGTCCATCTGTTTCTCTGCATACTCTGTTTAGATGGTCTACACAAAATCTACTTTACAAAATATATATTTTAACGAATTCTTTGTTTATTAAGTAACCTGTATCTAGACTCATTGGCCACTTTATCAGAAACACTGACTATATAGGCACACTTTGTAGGTGTACAGTGCTTATCTGCTGTTGCACAGTTTATCAAAAAGAAAACAAAGAACAGTAAGTTGACTTTGTTAAGCCAATTTAATTATTCCCTCATTACCGCCAACAACAGAACATTAAGATTTTCACACCAAAATATGTTTGGTATTACACATAAAAACCTATTTAGCACAATAAAACTTTCTCTAATAGTGATGGGATTATTATTTATCGGTAGGCAGTTGTTAAGCAGTTGGTAGGTGGTTGCTAGGGTGTTGCTAAGTGGTTGCGGTAGTGTTTCAGGTGGTTGCTAGGGTGTCGTTAGGTGGTTGCTGTGTATTCCTATGTGGGGATAACAATATAAGAAAATTCCCATATTAGCCTATTAGCTTTTTCGCAATTTACTAAGGTGATTGTTGAGCAAAGCTAAATTCGTATATACAGTTTACCATGATTTTTGTGACCAATTTGTGCCTTCAAACATGCATGCACTATTGAAGTCCTGCATGTTTTTCTGGGCGGGGCTAGAATATCCTGCTGTATAATGTATATGGGTGTTCGTGACAGTAAGGGAATACGAAACCTATGTAAAAATCTGATTATGATGTTTCGTGACTCAATTCGGAATCAAAGGATAAACACAATGCATTTTATTGGATATTGATAAGAGGATCCTCAGTCTGCCAGTGTAAGGAGCAGCCTGCTGTTCATATGTGTGGCTGCTGTTCATATTGCCGTGTGCACAAATTATTAGTATTTTTGCCATTTTCTATTTTTATTCTTATTATTTGTATTGATTATATTGATAATGGCTTTGGTTAGTTAACCACAAATCAAGCATTCTTTCCAGGTTGGTAAATCATTACGCTGTTTTTCCAAACAGCTCATATAATATCACCAATACGCCAAAGAGGAAACAAGATGATGAAATTTGCATTGGCTCAATGCATTTTATTGGATATTGATAAGAGGATCCTCAGTCTGCCAGCATAAAGAGCAGCCTGCTGTTCATATTTATGGCTCCTTCTTTTACACGGCCGTTCCTACGTTTCCCTACTCTGCACATTTTTGTTTTTATGCTGCAACACAAAGTGCATTCCCAAAGCCTTCATGGGGTTAAAATGGTTGTATTAGAGCAAACAGACACTAAAATGTGCAGAACAGGAGGGCTCAAAGACCAGAACTGCATTAGAGCTCAAGAAACGAAACAGTAACTTGTGAATTTCTCATCCAACACCATAGCTGCGCTGCATCTGTCTCCATGTGCACAGCTGGAGTTATCTGGACAACATCTGGGGCGACCCAGCTAAACCCTCTCATGAGGTCTGAATTCTGCAGCAATCTTTCTGAGCCTGGCTTTTGCAGCAGTTTTAGCTCCGGCTTTTATTGTAACCTTTGTTTAAATGCATGGATTTAAAGCAGTTCTGCATAGTATTATAGTGCAAATCTCACTAATGCCCTGCATTAGTCAGCGCAGGCACCTTTTTCCTCGCAGGGATGAGGCAGCCATGTGCTCCATTTACTGTGGCTGCTGATAAAGCTGAGAGGAAATGTTACAGTGACCTCAGGCATTTTCGAGTTTTTTGTTTAGGCCTCCACTGAATCAGTTTCTAAACTGGTCCTTATTTGTAATGGAACACTTCGGCGTATTTCAACCTAATCTCTGTTTTATCATTAGAAGCAACAAATCACAATATTAAAATATAATATTGTAATTATTATACTATATATTTATACAGTACTGCAAAATTTTAGGCACCTGAAAAAATATTTTAAAAAGGCTATTTATTAGTAAGAGTTTATTTGCTCAAAAACACTGCTATTGGAATAAATACAAATAACATTAATACAGTAAGTAATGGTTTTATGTATGTTAATGTGCTTGTCTAACCATTTCTAAACCTCTCCTCGGGGGAAGACCTGTAATTGTTGTAGTTATCACACCAAAACCTGGTTTGGCTGATCAGTCCTTCATTAAATTAAATCAGATTAGCAAATCCAAGCTTTATCTGTGGGCATCCAGGAGAAATCTGGAACTAAACTTGCATTTTTCTAAGCAGCTTATATAATATAAAATACTTTTTTCAAAAACAAGAATGTCTTGTTACTGTTTACTTTATGTGTATTTATTCTGTTCTGTTATCTAGTGTTTTTTACAGGAAAGAGCATTCACCGCTAAAATAAACGGTTTTAAACAATTAGCTCAGGTGCCTATGACTTTGGCAAAATTATATCTGTTAGAATTTTGCCTAATATTGTAATAAATACAACAGAAAACCTGTTAACTGAGGATACACTTATAATAGCAGCCAGTGGGTTCAGCACTTGCCCATTGATTCCTGTGATAAGCTTATTTTTAGTCAATGTCCTTTACTCATCAAAGTTGCATAAAAGATTGCGGACTTGACCACCTTTAATAACGCACAAACTATTTTGTGTCTGATTCACAAAACTGAGCAGAGATTTTAGCGTGAATGATGAATCAGCTTCAGTGCATGAAATCAAGCACCAGCCTACCAGCACCTAATTTACATGTCATTTACATAAAGCATGCCCTAATAAATTAATGCAGATGTTTTAGTAGGGAGCCAATCAAATTACTGCATTCAGCAACTTGTGAGCCAATGGCTGAGCTTTTAGCCAGAGTTTGAGGTCAGGCAGTTAGTGAATTGTACCCTCTACTGGTCAGACTTTATAGTGTTATGATAAGGACCACTGGAAAGAGAGAGAGAGAGAGAGAGAGAGAGAGAGGATGAAAAAAAGGCCAAAACATACATTATGCAAAATTTGGTGCCTTAGAAACCAAATATAACCAGCATAACCAATTAGCACTCACTGTTCACTTTGTGTTGTACCATTAAAGAGCCATTCTTACATTTTTCTTGGTTTTCTATTTATTTTTTTTCCCGCTTGTCAAGTCAAGTCAAAGTTTTTTATAGTGCTTTTTACAATAGGTGTTGTCACAAAGCAGCTTTACAGAAAAATACGGGTCTGAGCCCCCATGAGCGTCGCCAATGGCGACAGTGGCAAGGAAAAACTCCCTAAGAGCAGGAGGAAGAAACCTTGAGAGGAACCAAGACTCAGAAGGGGAACCCATCCTCCTCTGGTCGACACCGGATAGTAAACAGCGTTAGTATAAAATATTAGAATACAAAACGGGGAAAAAAAGGTGGAGCAGTTTAGCAGCAGCAGCAGCAGGAGGGTCAGTTCATGCAGGTGAGGTGCAGATCAGCCAACAAAGATGGAGCTCTGGTGACTCTAGCAGCTCTGGTGGCTCACATGTGGCGACTCAAGCAGACCTCACTCAGGGGCTCAAATAAAGGGACACTTGTGATGTCTGTGTGATTTGATGTGCCAAAAACAGCCATAATTAATTTTTACACAACCATTTTCCAAACTTCTCTTTATCCCTTAGAATTAACCAGGCTGTTTTTGTTACTGTGCCATTATGGGTGACATATGTAAATGAGCTCTGTTCTGATTGGCTGCCTTGTATTGTGCCTCATTCGAAAAGCAGTCCAGGCTGAAACACTCTTCATAACTTCAGCATGAATGGGTGAAGCTAAACTTCTGCAGGTTGAAACGCTGGATAGATGTAAATGTGTTGGTTTTTGTGGCATCACAAAAACACTGAATTCAAAATGGACTGTTTTTGCAGCTTAGTTTTCATATATGGACCGTATGGACTGGAGAGTGAATGGTCAGTTTTGAAAACCTAAGGCTACGTTCACATTACCAGGTTGAAGTGGCACAAATCCGATTTTTTGCCCTAATGTGACTCAGATCTGATGTTTTCAGAGCTGTGTGAACACGCAAATCTGATCTTTTCAAATCTGATCTGAGTCACTTTCATATGTGGTCCTAGATACGTATCCAATCTGTGGCCATGTGACCTTAATGTGACGCTCAGATCGGAATTCATGTGCTTTTCTCCACTGCGCGTGTGCCATCATTCAGCGTTACAATGGCAGCAGCACTGAACAGAAGTTAAAGCCTGTAAATGGTGGAAAAGCGGCTCATCTCACCTTTTTCTCCTTTGTCTCGCTCTAATAATGAAGCTGAGAGCTGATCAGAGTTAATTATCTTCTCAGCGAAGCTCGTTCTGCTCGTTAGTTTGTGCTGATGATGCAGGTGATTCATTCACGTGACGTTACAGAGTAGGATGTGCTCATGCGGGTCATTTCAGGACACCGGTTCGTTCACACTAATGACAGATTTGAATCACTTACCTAAACGAGTGTGAACCATCCTGTCAGAGAGATCGGATCTGAGCAAAAAATCAGATATGGTTCCTTTAATGCAACTGTTCTGCACAGCATTTATTTACTATGATCCTAAGTTTCTTCAGGAGCACAGATATGGGATCTGTAAAGAGACCAGTAACAGCAGTAACACTGTAGAAGGCCTACAGTAACTTGCAGCAGTAGCGTTTAAGCCGGCTGTAGCAGATTCACTGAGTGAGTGCATGATGCTCAATTGTAGGTCAGAGCGCATTCTTGAGAGGAGCTTTAATGTAAAGGATTTTATTTGCAAATACCATTTTGGCTTTTGCATCAGCTGAGAAACAGAGCAACAACACTGCACTAATATCCTGGATTTTGCCCTCTCTCTCTCTCTTTCTCTCTCTCTCTCTCACTAGAGCCACAGCATCTCTGGTCTCAGCATCTCTGGCCATGTTGGATTAGCCATGTGATTGTTTACTAGCTGTACAGGCTGCGGTGATTTGTGTTTTGTTTGTCTCATGTTGTTTATCCCTGCTTCGTTTCTGAAGGCCGGTTGCTGTCCTGCGCTCCTCTTCTCCTGTCAGAACCTGACCCAGGTCAACACTGTGCTTCAGCACACGTCCGGCAGCAACCAGGAGTGCCTGGAGAATGTAAACTCATGGTCTCTTCCTCTTTTCTGACTTTCTTCTTTGACATTTCTTAATATTTCTTTAAACATTTTTAGAGATGATAGTGTTTTGTCTGTTAGCTGTAATGACCTTCTGTGTGATGAGCTGTTGATTCACAAAACTGCGTAAGGGTCTAAATACTAAAATACATGCAGTTGTTTGTAAATTTGATTGCCATGTTTACATTTGACGGTTTCTGCTGTAAAGCACTTTTATCTAAGTTTATATTTATATATCTGTTTCTCTACATACTTTGTTATCCTGTTCTTCAGTGGTCAGAACCCCCACAAGACCCCCACAGAGCAGGTATTATTTAGGTGGTGGGTCATTCTCAGCACTGCAGTAACACTGACGTGGTGGTGGTGTGTTAGTGTGTGCTGCGCTGGTACGAGTGGATCAGACGCAGCAGTGCTGCTGGAGTTTTTAAACACTGTGTCCACTCACTGTCCACTCTATTAGAAGCTCCTACCTTGTCAGTCCACCTTGTAGATGTAAAGTCAGAGACGACAGCTCATCTGCTGCTGCACAGCTTGTGTTGGTCATCCTCTTGTCCTTCATCAGTGGTCACAGGACGCAGCCCACAGGACACTGTTGGCTGGATATATTTGGTTGGTGGACTATTCTCAGTCCAGCAGTGACACTGAGGTGTACAAAACTCCAACAACACTGCTGTGTCTGATCCACTCAGACCAGCACAACACACACTAACACACCACCACCACATCAGTGTTAATGCAGTGCTGAGAATGATCCATCACCCAAACGGTACCTGCTCTGTGAGGGTCCCTGGGGGTCCTGACCACTGAAGAACAGGGTGATAAAGCATGTAGAGAAACAGATGGACTACAGTCTGTAATTGTAGCGCTATAAAGTGCACCTATATGGTCAGTGGAGCTGATAAAGTGGACAGTGAGTATAGAAACAAGGAAGTGGTTTTAATGTTATGCCTGATCGGTGTAAGTTGATAATAGAAACAGCACATTAAGCAGGCAGCAGTGTGGATTTTTAATAGGTTTTGTCTACAGATAATATAAAAAACAAATCAATTTAATACCATGCTACTAAAACACATCTTTAACCAGCTTATTGACTCATTTTCCTCCAACTCCAGTTCCTTCAAGTAGAACCAAGTAAACTTATTATAATTATTGTTATTAAGAAGTGCTGTCAAGTTGTTTCCAACTCCTATTACTATATGGACAGTGTTTCTCCAGAATATCTGTCTTCTGTTTGGGTCTTCAGGCTTCTGAATGGCTGGTTCATGACCCCTTTGATTGTCTCCGTCCATCTTGTAGCTGATCAACCTCATTCTCTTTTACCTCCAACTCTTCCAAGCATAATGGTCTTTCCCAGTGAACTGGTTCTTCTCAGAAAATGTCCAAAATAAGAGCTTTGGTTGCATGAGTGAGATGTGAAGCTTGATTTGTTAGAAGATCCATTTATTTCCCTTCTATGCTGTGTAAGGAACTCTCAAAGTGTTCACCAGCACCTCATATCAGACATTATCGATGTAATGGACCTGTGGTTTATTTGATCTGCAGGGACATCAGACAGCACTGCACCGTGCGGCTGTCGTGGGAAACCGTGAGGTCATCTCTGCTCTTGTCCAGGGAGGCTGTGCCCTCGACCTGCAGGACAAGGTACATCACTCAGTCCTGCACTTGTGTCTGTTTGCTTTAAAAAATGATGGAACTGATTTTTTGTATTATCATAATTGTGCATCAACACCATTGTTAATCTTTATAGAACATTTCAAAGGATGCTGGAGCTTTTATGGATTTATAGAAGCATGTCGATGCACCATTTTTAAGGATTTGGATTTATTTCAACAGGAAGGAAACACTGCTTTGCATGAGGTGGCATGGCACGGTTTTAGCCAGTGTGTAAAAGTCCTGGTGAAAGCTGGGGCTAACGTTCATGTTAAAAATAAGGTAAGAAGATCCTGAATATATACAAAATCCACCACTTTTTAAAGAGGGTTAGTTCATATTCTGCAAAATGTAGTTAGAAACATGCAGAGATGTTCAACTTTTTAATTTTGGAAGATGGTCATGATTACAGGTTCTTCAGTTCTGGTGTTTCGTCTGCATATTAAGGTACTTTTGTTTCATACTAGCAAAACAATTCAGTAACATAACACTGAGAGCGAAACCTGCAGACAGACATTGTGAGGCACAGAGTTGCCAGTTTATTAGGTACACATAACTTGTACCTACATTATGCAGACAAAAGTATTAGGGAATACCTCCTAATTATTGAGCTCAGGTAAAGCATGCGCCACTGGACTCTGGAGCAGTGGAAACGTATTCTGCTTCTCTATCTGTCGAGACGAGTCTAGGGTTTGGCGAATGCCAGGAGAACGTTACCTGCCTGACTGCACTGTGCCAGCTGTAAAGTTTGGTGGAGGAGGGATGATGATATGGGGCTGTTTTTCAGAGGCTGGTCAGTGAAGGGAAATCTTAATGCTTCAGTACCAAGACATTTAGGACAATTCTATACTTCCAACTTTGTGCAAACAGTTTGGGGAAGAACCTTTTCTGTTCCAGCATGACTGAGCCCCAGTGCACAGAGCAAGGTCCATAAAGGCCTGGCTGGGTGAGTTTGGTGTGGAAGAACTTGACTGGCCCTCACAGAGCCCTGACCTCAACCCCATCCAACACCTTTGGGATGAACTAGAATAGAGATTGTGAGCCAAGGCCTCTCGTCCAACATCAGTGTCTGACCTCACAAATGCTCTTCTGGATGAACGGAAAAAAATTCCCACAGACTCTCTCCAACATCTGTAGAAAGCTTCCCAGAAGAGTGGAAGCTGTTACAGCTGCGAAAGGGGGACCAACTCCATATTAATGCCTATGAATTTAGAATGGATGTCATAAAAGCTCCTGTGGGTGTATTGAGTAGGTATCCCAATACTTTTGTCCATATAGTGTACGTTCATTGGCCGCTTCATCTGTTACACCTAATAATCGGTGAGTAACGTACTCAGTAGCTTGTTGGGCTAATCACTAGTGTTGTAGGCCCAGTTAATTCCCAGTTAAGCCATCGTGGAAAGGAGCAATTAGATCCTCAACAGCAATGAACAGATTTTGTTTAAACATGCAGACAAAATGTTTTTCTATTTGATGGTTTTGTTGATATTTAGTGATGATAGAACAATGTTCAATTTCCATTCACCTCAGACAGAGGCGTCGCACTTCAATGGTCTAGAGAATAATTTCCACTTTACCCCAAGATCGAGACAAGACCGGACTGCAGCACTACTAAACACCGAGACTTAACTATAGTAATGTGGAATACACTTCTGTATGTTGCCAGCTTTTAACATTTACAGTTCTACATGAGAGAAGATGACCCTGCAAAAATCTATTCTAAAAATCTACCAGCTATTTTGATTACGTAGAAATTGACTAATCCTGCTGTACAGCATCGTGTCATTCATATGAGGTACTGTATCCTCTGTTTTTCAGGCAGGGAACACAGCTCTCCATCTGGCCTGTCAGAACGGACATGCTCACAGTGCTCGAGTGCTGCTGCTCGGAGGATCTGTTCCTGACAGCAAAAACAATGTGTGTACCAAAGAATATACTGAAGGCTCTCAGATGGCACAACCATCCCAGTGTTGGTCATATCGTCAGGAGATTGTGAATTTGATGCCGGGCGATGTCACAGGCATCAGTGGCCAGGAGTCTAAAAGAGCATATCACTCATCACGATGCTAGCCAATGCAGACATCTGTTAGCTGATGTAACAGAATTAGCAGTTTTCATTTTCCCATATATATATATATATATATCGCTGCTGTCGGAACAAAACCTTGTATCTCCAAAATGGTGACTTTACAAGAGAAGGAAAAAACATACTTTACTTATAATGTAAGTCAATGGAACCAGACATTTTTACAAGTCTTTTTGGGCCGTTTCTTTTGGTCCATTCTTCATGAAATTTACACACAATATAAACGACAGTAGGTATTTTCAAATAATTTTCAAAAATGAAAAGAATGACAAAAATGGAGATACGAGGTGGAATAGAACAATAGAAGAACTCTTTTCGGTGCTATGTAGAACGCTTTTTTAGCATTTCTATGTAGAACCATATACAGCACACACTCTATCAATCCGAAGAACATTTTTCCATGCAAAGAACCCTTTAGACATGCAAAAGGTTCTGGAGTGTTGAGTATAAGGGTCTGTATGTGGGTCCACACTTCAGTTCCTCACTCTCATAAGTACAGAACTTACATATTAGTTTCAAAGTACTGAATGATTCATTGCTGGTACTGAGTATTTCATAGTAGTTACTGAGTAATTCATAGCGGTTACTGAATAAGTTGTAGTACTGTAGTAGTAATTGAGTAATTTGTGGTGGTATAACTGAATAAAAAACCTGCTATTTAAGGAATTAAAAACTGAAAACTGAACAATTCAGTGTCAGAACGAGGCTTGTTCTCATTTCAGGCAGGTGACACATGTTTACACATTGCTGCGCGGTACAATCACATGGTGATGATAAAGACTCTCCTGGGTGCGTTCTGCTCTGTGGCTGAGAAAAACCAGGTCAGTTCCTCCAGCACGTGTGTTTGTTCTGGTTCCAGATGGGTCATGGCTGTTTACTTGTTGGTTTTTATACAGTATGGCTCTTTTGATGTCAGTAAGTCTTCTCAGTGGCAGCGTCAGCCGTGAAATGAAAGCATCCCAGAGTCTGCATTGAAAAGAACTCAACTGTTGACTAAACTGTTGAAGTTTCCACAGGTTGGAGACACAGCTCTTCATGTGGCTGCCGCCTTAAATCACAGAAAAACAGTGAGTCTGTTGCTGGAGGCAGGAGCTGACAGCTGCTTAAAGAACAATGTGGGTGAAAATAGGGGTTTTTCTTTCTATTGGCGTCATTATAGTGAGTTTTGTGGGTCATTTCTAACAGTAAAAAGCTAATTTTCTTCTGAAGGTGTTTATATGATTGTGTGTTATGAGATGCTGTTCGGTGCTGACTGTTCGCTCCTCTCACAGGCCGGCTGCACTGCCCTCGACAAGGCCAGAGACAATAATAACAGAGAAGTGGCTCTTCTTTTGGCCAAATCCAATCAGGTGTGTGTAAGTAAGGGCTCACACTGCAAATCGTTACACAACGACAGTATGAATGCAAAGCTTGAACCTGATTGAATGTATCCAGTGTTTTTTCAGAATCTTAAAGAAAGGCTTCTGCTTACAAAGAATGGTGTCTTGTCAAGCAAAATTATCTTAAATATAGTCAATGAATCTAATATTTCTCAGGTTGAGATTGTTGAAAGCTTAATTTAAGATTGTGTTCCTTATTTCTAGACATTTTTTACATGTTTTAAGTCATTTTATTAGATAAAATTATCTCACTATATTGGCAGATAATTTTGCTTATTCTAAGAAATGTGCTGGAAACCAGCGAAATTATCTGCCAGCATAGCGAGATAATTTGGCTTGATAAAATTAGCTAAAATAATTAAGCAAGATAAGGAAGATAATCTTGCAATAAGTGCACAGACATCTCGACATGGGAAATATCAGATGTGTCAACTACATTTAAGATTATTTCACTTGAGATGTTTCCATTTTTGCAGTGTACTCGCTTTGTTACTAAGATAAATACAAACAGAGCTGATGACTGTATGAATATATTAGTTTGAATTTGTGTGTATGAATGAATTTATTAGAGGTGTAACAATTCACTCAGCCAGTGATTCGATTCGATTTACAACACCAGGTTCCCAATTCATCAGACATTATGCATTATAGAAAGAGTCTTAAGTAATATATTGTCATGGTATTAATTAACAGACTGAGTTAGAATTGTGTCAATAATTAATGATTGCCTTTATTAATAGTTATTGATATTTGATTCAGTTCTTTATTACTGTATACACTTCATCATTTCCTGATGTGCAGTAATTTACTGTGATGAAAGCATTAGTTAAGTATTAATACATGCTTATTTGTGGACCAGTATTGTAGTGTTACCCTTAGTGATGACAGTAGTACTGGGGCCTCCCAGGGGAAGTGCTGGAGTGAGGTGTCGGTTGTAGATTGGTGGTGGTTGTTTGCAAACTTTGGTGTTCAAGCAATGCAATTGCATTACATGGCATAATTAATAGAATGTCCATTATTCACCATGTATGCCAAGAGTGTGCAAAGCTGCATCGAGACAAAGAGGCTACTATGACCTAAGAATGGCTCCTTTAGTTTGCATAGGAGTCCCTGTAGTTACTGAGTAATAAGCCTTTGTATGAAATAATCCTGGAATGTTAAGGGGTTAACACTTTTGTGCATCCAAACGTTGATCTGTACTATATTTTGTCTATAATATTCCATATAAACCACAATAAGTCCATCTCTTACACCCGAATGATACTGCACAGGTTCAGAGGTTTGCACGAGGCAGAACTGTGAGGAAGAGGAGGGATTTACAGAGAGCGCAGAGAAGAGCCCAGTCTGTACCTCGAGATGAAGTGCTTGCTGGGAAGGTGGGAGCGTTAACATGGTAGTGTGGGTCACACAAACAAAATTAATAACTAATTTTTGTTTTTCTACATCATTTAAACACAACAGTGTGTGAAAATTTCATGAAGAACAGACCGATAGAAATCACTTGGAATGAAACCTCTTTACATTAAAAGTTAAGAACGTTTTTGCCTTGTCCTGTTACTGTTCTGGAGATGCATGATTTTCCAGACAGTGATGTAATAATAATCAGGTAAGTGTGCTTGACATGAAAAGTACATAATGTTTTAACATGTTTTATGTCAAATTAAGTGTGCTACATATTGAGTTACAATGAAACTAAAATGCACTTAAATGCATTTTATTAGATTTCATCATCACTAACTATGCTGCAGTGAAGTTAACTTAAGCAGTTGTTATGATGCAAATTCTTCTACACATAAAACATATTTTATTGACTGCTAGTTAGTTTGTGTTATATTCCTAAAATGCAACTAGAATGTACTAAAGCATACTTTTAAAGTCATTGTTCTAAAATACACTTCAAAATAGAACACTTCAGTTGATAACAATAACATTAACTTTTGTATGATTCACTATGTTAAGAAATACATTTATTCAAGTGTATTTCCTTGCATCCAGAGAAAGGACTGTTTTGTTTTGTTGATATTCAGCAACCTCTCAGAAATAAAGGTACTAAAATGTCACTGGGGTGGTACCTTCAAGGGTACATCACAGTACCTTTAGTCTGGGAACATAATTGTACCATAATCCATTGTTATTGTTATGAAATTATATTTTCTAAGCTGTACTGACTCCACACACCCCGTCTCGTCTCCAGGCTTTTATTTTATGTTTTAAAACATTCGGTTATAAAAAGGTACAAATACAAACTTTTCGCCTGGAAAAACTTATTTAAGGTTCACAATCAGACCTTAAAACCACTGTTGTACCTTTGAGGGAACATTTACATTGTTTGTACCTTGATGAACGAAAAATGTACCTGCACAGAACCTTTATTTCTAACAGTGTACTGATAGACAAAAGCTCAGTTTCCAGTCACCTCTGACTGAGGCATCACACTTTGCTGGTCTCCAGAATAATTTCTGGGTCCACTTTCCCCGAGACAGAGAAAAGACGGAGTCCGAATAATGTTGAGACCAGTAATTTACGATCATACTCGAGTACCACTACACTTGACCACAGTACAGACGGATGTCTGGCTTAAAGATGCCTGTCTGCTTGTTTTCAGCTGTGCAACATACTCCGTGTTTATAGATAACAGTGTGTCGTACAGTGTCTGAAGCCACATAAGCAAGTCCATTAGAGGTACTGAACAGCTCCACACAGTTTGAGGCAAATTTGTGATGATGTAGGCAAGCAGCCAGCACAGTGCTAATTGAGGTTTAACCAATTGGGGTTCCTTGTTAGCTACATGAGTCTTGTAGCTTCAACCTCACCTTCATTTGGATCACTGAATTATCATTTGAAGAGATGTTCTCCATCCACTGTGCCACTTAGCCTGATGCCGGGTGTCTGGAGATGCATTTTCTTTTATCACTTAATATTTGGAGCTGGGGGGCAGTAAGAAGCAATTGGCATGAGTGGACAGCTAAGCTCCTATTGTCTACCCTAAAATGCCGGTGGTCATGTGGCTAGAGCTCACAGTAATCCCCCCCTCATAGTGAAGGCTCTGGTCATTGTGCAGGACAGTGCATCAGTGGCTGAAGGCACACACAGCAGTGACCGGGCACTTCGCAGGACAGGACAGCCACTGAATAAGACCACATCTAGTCCTCACACCAGGAGGAAGACCAGGAGACTCAAAGAGAGGGTGAGAATATAGTTTTGGTACATGATTTTTTCTTTTCTATTCAGTTTTTTTGGCCCATATTCTTCCACAATACCAGTGTATCCAATGGCAAACTATGGGCTTTCCTGGACACTGATGAAGCCTAGTCTTGGACCGAATTGAAATGCCAATGGAAAATAATCATTAAAAATACAATCTAGTCTAGACTTAGACATCATCTGAGTGTGGAAAAGTGACCAAGAAACTTGCTTTTGGTTTATATTTTCGATGATAAATTAGACCGAGCACGCGTCCTTGAGAGAGAACCTCCTACAGACTCCCAGACGCAGCAGCCCAAGCCTTCAGGAAGACGACAGGTGTCCAAACGGAAGAGCTTACCAGCTGTACACTCTGTACCGTGACGAGGACGGCCGCGTAAAACAGGTAATGTGTAGAAGTGTATCTTGATAAAGTGCTGTCTACATTTAGACCTGCATTTGTTCTTATGGGACAACCACCGTGTCACCGATCCAGACACCTGCCAATGGCTGTAACTGTAAACCCTTAATAAAAAAACTGGAGAACCAGCTGAAGGCCACCAAGAAGGAGATGAGGTCCCAGATCCACACTGTGCAGGAGCAGATGAACTGCAGACTGGGCAGAATAGACCGTCAGAGTAAACACCAGGTTTGCTAGTTTCCTCCCTTTTACTGAGTAGCTAAAGTGATTGCACTGCATTATTTATAGACGGATTTCTAGTAGAACTACCATATGTGTTTAACTTACACTTATTTCATTACTTTCCTTCCTTTGTGAAAGAAAATGCATTTTTAAAAATGTGCTTAACATGAGAAGTAAATATTCTTAAAGTTTGCACTGTAAACATGCATCATTTTTTTATTATTTTGGAACAATTTATGACAAATTGAGTGGATTTAAATGGTTAAAAATGTATTTGCCCTTTTGAGTGCTTTTTTGAACAATTAAGTTGGACTTAAAAGTAGATATAACTTTTTACACTTTTTACATTTGAAATATATATAAATATATATACAAAATATGTATGATAAATATAAATATACTAAAGAATGTAGTACATATCAGTGCTACATATTCAGTTACACTGAAACTAAAATGCACTTGAATACATTTTAATTTAGATTTCAATATCATTAACTACACCTAAATACACTCAAATAAATGTAAAATATGTAAAATACACATGTAAAATATGTAAAATCAAATAAAACATGTAAACCTAAATATATTATAAGGAATAGCTTATATACTTTTATTTTAATGTGTACTCCTGGGTTTACCAATAACCATATTTGATTGCTAGTTAGTTTGAGTTATATTGCTAAAATGCAACTACAATGTACTAAAGCATATTGTAAAAAATTGCTTTAAAATACACTTCAAAATAGAACACTTAAGTTGATGACGATTACATTTACTTTTGTACTTTATTTTTCAGTATGTTAAGAAATACATTTATTCACATGTATTTCATTACAGCATAATAAAGTATAATTTAAAATATGTCACTTTGATGGCAGAGAGGTACATGCAGGACATTGCAAAAAGTAAACTTAAGATGTATTTCCACTTAATTGTACTTGTAGTATTCTATGTATACTGTACTTAAAGTTATACTACACTTAAAGAGATAATAAAGCTTGGTGGCATCATTTTGACGAAAACAGTGATCTAACCTTTCTTTCTGTCTCATATCTTTGCACATGGGCTAGATTAAAGTTCTGGAGAAGATGACGCAGGAGCGTGTATCAGCCGAGAGGATGGAGTGCCATTACCGCATCAATCAGAGAGCCACTGCGGAGAGGATGGAGGACCAGCGGAGACAGGTAGAGCCAGTACTGTACAGTAATGAAGCATAAATACTGCGTAATATATAATATAACAGTACTGGCTACTTTAAAGTTAAATTTCAATGATTTTTTTAAAATAATGTAAACAGAGTCATTCAGACTGGTTTGGTGTTAAATTCTCCATTTTAGAGAAACTTACAGAGTCAGAAATGTTCACAGTGGTGGTGATAGGAACCAGACATCTGAAGAGTTTTAAGAGCCTTTAAAAGCTTCTACACAGTATGTTATTACATGAAATGGTTATGAATATTCTGCCTGGTGTCTGAGACACTGTTTTAGGACAGTTTTGAGAAGGTTTTGGCTCAAAATGTTACTATTTTACCGTCATTAACATTACATAAAAACATATGTAAGTTCACTGGTGGTGGTTTTGGATAGTAAATATTTGCACTGTAATCATTGTGACTCCTGGTTCGAATCACTAGCACAGTAAAGGAATCTGAGTAAGTTTGTCTACAGTCAACCATTTCACACCAAACCACTCTCAATGACTTTGTTTACGAAGACTGAACAATGCATAAGTTTAGAATAATCACTGGACTTCCCCTTTAACATTTCAACTTGAGTATTTTCTTAAACTTATGCTAGTTAAGGTATTGTTACTTTTACTCATGTTGGCATTATTAAGTACTTTATACAACATTAAGCACCACAGTTTTGTAATTAGCTTCATCTTTATTAATCACGCATCAGTTTTGTCTGTGTTTTTTAAGCAGGCATCTACAGCCAGTGAGGTGAAAAACTGGTGCATGTCGAAGCTCCAGGACATGGAGGAGCACTTACCAGCAGAGGCTCAGTACTACAAACTCCTCCACTCTCCTTCTACGGATCGTTCCGCGGGGGAGACTGATCAGGAGTGTCTCCCGCTGCTGTCGGTCATCTCTGAGGACAGCATCAGCTCTCTGGCCACCTACGTCAACGTGCTGCCGAAGCCAGCAGCAGCAGGATCTGCTGGAAAAAGCCCCGAGTTTGATGACCTTCAGGGGAGGAAATATTTTGAACTGAAGCTGGACAGCTCACCCAGTGGGCCAGGAGGTGGGAGATTAGATACTTCAAAAGCAAGACGAATGCTGAAATTTAGATTTTGATGTTTGATATTTTTTAATTAATTTATTTATAGCGGACCTTTCATACTCAAAGAATAAAACTAGAAACTAGACGGGGAAAGTTTGTGAACAAGCCATTGCTGTGAAATCCCAGTTGCTATTGTGTTGCTCTGTTATCCCAGGTGCTTGTTATAATGTTGCTACCCCATTGTTATGGAATCTCAGGTGGTTTCTGAGGTGTTGCTAGGCTGTTGCTATTGTATCCTAGGTAGTTGTTAAGGTTTTGCTAGACCATTAGGATGTTATTCCAGGTGGTTGCTAAAGTGTTTCAAGGCTGTTGCTATGGAATCTCAGGTGGTTGCTAAGGTGTTGCCATGTTATTACAAGTGGTTGCTCAGATGTTAGGCCATTGCTATGGAATCCCATGTAGTTTCTAAGGTGTTGCTAGGCTGTTGCTATGATATCCCAGGTGGTTGGCATGGTATTACCCCAGGTGGTTGTTAAGGTGTTGCCAGGCCTTTGATATGTTATTCCACGTGGGTGCTAAGGTGTTTCTAGGCCATTGCTATGGTATCCCAGATGGTTGCCAGGCTATTTTATTCCAGGTGGTTGCTAAGGTGTTCAGTCATTGCTGTGGAATCTGCACATTTTAATGCATGATTATTGTTTATCTGCTGACTTTAACATGTCGAAAAAAATAACAATAACAACATAGCATTTAAACTTTTGCATATGACTGTCATCAAACCTAAACATCTCTGTGATGCTGAATTTTTTGAAAGCAAATATCTGACAATAACAATATGACTATCATTGTGCATCAAGAACAAAGCAATACTATTATTAAATTGCTAAATTTAAAGGTTTATTATGATGTCATACAAAGATTGATTGCCTAATATTTTTTTTCTTTGAACTTTTATTGACTTTTTTTCCTGTCTAAAGGCATTAAAACAAAAAGAGGCCTTCTAATTGAAGTATGTTCAGAATATAAAAGTATGCTCCATATTGTATGTCTTTCAACCTAACGTAACTCCTTCTTCACACAGATAATTATCAGAATCTATCAGAGCACCGTGTCGTGCTACCGTCCCCGTGCATGCCTGTAAACGCACACAGGCCCCTCTCTCGACGGCTGGCCAACGCTGACCCCCAGCGGCTGAACAAGGAACAGCAAGAAACTGAGTGCAGGCTGGGTCAGAATGAGGAGTTTCAGCTATAGCAGCACAAGCAGCAGCCTGTCCACTCCCAGCAGGGGCGTCAACGACAGTGACCCAGAACCCGCGAGGCTTCAGGCCTGGCACCATCGCAGACACCTGAAAGACAGGATCAAAGCCCACCGTGCCAGCGTCCAGCAGGGCGGCACTATGCACACCCTGGAGTTTTTCTCCGAGCCCCCCACAGAGTCCTCTTTCATCCAGGAGAGGGCCAACCTGCACGCGATTGAGGTCACTCAGCGCTTCTTTGAGACAGTGTCCACACAGCTGGAGCGATGGTACGAGAGGAAGATCCAGGAAGCTCAGAGAGCTGTGGAGCACCGGGCACAACAGGACAGAGCCGGCCTGCTGGAGCGCATCAACACCCTGGAGGAGGAGCTCCGGAGGCTGAGGGCCAGCACTCCAACTGACCCTTAAAGAAATAGTTTGGAACAGTTCTCCCTCTTACCACAAATACAACACATCAGCCAAGACATGTTTGGCGTCTGAAGTTTGCTTGTTTAGTTTTGTACTTGAGCTCAGAGGCTAAAGTAGCTAACATGAAATGCAAAAGTGTCAGGCAAGTGTGTGATGACTTAGGCATGCAGTTAGCATAATGCTAATGCTAATGCTAATATACAGTCCTATGTAAAAGTCTGGGCACCCCTACCCAGAAAAAATCTCTCTAAAGACTGTCTCAGAGAAATAAAGCAGATCTCAATGTTATATTTCAGCAGTAGAACCCGAGAGGGAGTGTTATCGCGAAATAACATCATGGCTGTGATTTGGTCGCCGTAGATCCTCACAGCCATGACATTATTCGCAATAACACACTCCTCGAGTGTTCTATTGCTTTTATACAACAGTTAAATAAATAAAGTAATACATTAAAAACTGGGCCGTGAACGCGGCGTTTAATATGTTTTAATGTTCGCAGTTCCTTCAACAAGTTATAGTTCCTTAACAAGGTTGTTGCTACGTCAGAGTAACGAACTCCGCCCTACAAGTTTGGTGAATGGTATTGGGTTCATTTCTGGCTGATTCCAGGTAGTTTAGCTGTTCTTCTGTCACAGCTGCCGACTGAAAAGCTGCTCAGTGGTGATGACAAAATCGGACCAAATCGGCCATTTTCTGTTTGTGGCAAAGTAAGAAGTAAAAACGTTCAAATGGCTTGAGTGTCTCCTCGTCTTAGGCGTCTTAGTGGACTGATACAGTGTTTGTGAAAAAAAACGTGATGTTATGGCGAAATAACAACACAGTTAGAACGCTTCTCAACCAATCAGCTTGCGTGGCCGGAAGTAACTGTTGTATAATAGTAAACAATCACTGATTTCTGAATTGTTTCTCCTAAACCTCCTCAGGAGAAATGGGAAAACTAACATCAGCATTTCACTGTGAGAGGTTCTGGTGATCAAGGAGAAAAGCGTGAGTTCTCCTTCTGCACCGACAGACTGCTGAGAGAGTTCTGTAATATAGAACAGAGCTGTATAAGACAACGATGAGATCTCACACTTTTCTTATGGAAATATTGCTCAACTGAGACGAGTCAGACACCAAAGAGTTAAACCACATGTGTGACAACATTTAGATCAAAGTGAGAAAACTGGACCACGTCTAGGAGATCAAGAGGAGATCTCATTTAGAATATTTCTTTCCATTGGGTCGTCAAATGACATGTTCTGTTGATTTTCTAAGTGTAAATAAGTTAACACATCCTCTACAGGGGACACATTTAAATATGGCATTTTTCTAGTGCACATGTGTGTGTGTGTGTTTGTGTGTGTGTATATATATATATGTGTGTGTGTGTGTGTGTGTGTATATACACACTTGCAAAGGCCATATTGTGCATTAACACTGCAGTAGTGTGTCTCTGTAGAGGATGTGTTCACTTATTTACACTTAGAAAATCAACAAAACATATAATTTGACTAGGGGTGCCCAAACCTTTGCATAGGACTGTATATTAGTATTAGCATTGTGCTAACTGCATGCCTAAATCATTAATCACTTACAAGGTTTACTCACTCAAACCTTGTAATATCTAATCAACCCGCTTGTGTGATTTCTGAGGCTGCAAGACATACGGCTCAATGATTTGGGCATCTAACTGCAAGTTTTCTGACCAGCATTGCACCCGCAATTTTAATTGCGATTAAGCTCCAGGCCATTGTTTATTAAAAAGACCAGTGCATCCATTTTCTCAGGCTTGAATGCTGCTTCCTGTTTTACAACTCGAGACAGTTGTATGCAAAAGTTTTGGCGCTCTTGGTCAGATTCCGTGTCCATGTTGAAATAAGTGAACACATCCTCTACAGAGAACACACTTCTGCACATTTTAACACACAATTACTGTTTATTTGCTGAATTTAACATATTGCAAAAATAAAACTTAAAATATGGCCTGTGCAAAAGTTATGGCACATTTTATGTATTTTATTTTTTTCCCTGCACTGTTAGAAATAAAGGTACTGCGCAGGCACATTTTTCATTCATCAAGGTACAAACCATGTAAATGTTCCCTCAAAGCTCCAACAGTGGTTTTAAGGTCTGATTGTGAACCTTAAATAAGTTTTTCCAGGTGAAAAGTTCGTATTTGTACCTTTTCATAACCGAATGTTTTAAAACAGAACAGTAAAATAAAAGCCTGGAGACGAGACGGGGATGTGTGGAGTCAGTACAGCTTAGAACATATCATTTCAGTGGATTATGGTTCAGTTATGTTCCCTGACTAAAGGTACTGAGATGAACCCTTGAGGGTCCCATCCCAGTGATGAGAGGAACTGCCCCAGTGACAGTTTACTATCTTTATTTCTGAGAGTGTATACGTTCAACTCAGCAAATAAACAGAAATTGTGCACTAAAATTTACAGAAAAATGCCATATTAAAGGTTATTCTCTGTAAAGGATGTGGAATTTTTGTTCAAATGTTTTTATAAGACTGCGTGTTTTCAAGCTTTTGGTTGGAAACAAGACGGATGAGCTGGGAATCATGATTTTTTGTTTACTTTTGTATTTTTTTAGTCATCACAAAGAGTAAGTTTGTGTTACTGCAACAAAATAAAGAGCAGAGTAAAAAATTATATGTTATATTATTTATATTATTAACTCTCTTTATAAGCTGTTAGATAATGTTTAAGTTGCCACTTATATGGGCTTGTTATTGTAAACAGTGTTAACATTCTTACTTTCTTTTCACAGATAATCAAAGCCTATCAGAGCACTTTAACATGCTTCCAGCTCTGTACATGCCTGTAAACGTACACAGTCCGCTCTCGACAGCTGATACATCTGATTATTTGCTGAACTATTATTACTGCGCTTAATGCAAGATGTGTCCCAGTTATGAGTTATTATGCCAACATGTTGTGAGGGTTACAGTGATATTAAGGGACGTGGTGCTGTATAAACTATAGTGTATTCAAATCAGTCAGACTCTGTTCCAACTCACTCATCACTCCACACTGCAAGAAGAAAATCCTCTTTAATTCAAAAGACTGAATTTGTTAATCAGTGACAAAGCAGTAAATTAACCCTGAATAACAACGGAATAACCCTGTACTTCAATGTCTCATTGTTTCACCCACTGTGTTGTGAAATGTTTAATGTGTTTACACCGATCAGGCATAACATTATGACCACCTCCTTGTTTCTACGCTCATTGTCCATTTTATCAGCTCCACTTACTATATAGGTGCACTTTGTAGTTCTACAGTTACAGACTGTAGTCCATCTGTTTCTCTGCATACTTTGTTAGCCCTCTTTTACCCTGTTCTTCAGTGGCCAGGACCCCCATGGACCCTCACAGAGCAGGTACTATTTGGGTAGTGGATCATTCTCAGCACTGCAGTAACACTGATGTGGTGGTGGTGTGTTAGTGTGTGTTGTGCTGGTACGAGTGGATCAGACCCAGCAGTGCTGCTGGAGTTTTTAAACACCTCAGTGTCACTGCTGGACTGAGAATAGTCCACCAACCAAAAATATCCAGCCAGCAGCGTCCTGTGGGCAGCGTCCTGTGACCACTGATGAAGGACTAGAGGATGACCAACACAAACTGTGCAGCAGCAGATGAGCTATCGTCTCTGACTTTACATCTACAAGGTGGACTGACAAGGTAGGAGTGTCTAATAGAGTGGACAGTGTTTAAAAACTCCAGCAGTACTGCTGTGTCTGATCCACTCAGACCAGCACAACACACACTAACACACCTCCACCACATCAGTGTTACTGCAGTGCTGAGATTGATCCACCACCCAAATAGTACCTGCTCTGTGGGGGTCCATGGGGGTCCTGACCACTGAAGAACAGGATAAAAGGGGGCTAACAAAGTATGCAGAGAAACAGATGGACTACAGTCTGTAACTGTAGAACTACAAAGTGCACCTATATAGTAAGTGGAGCTGATAAAATGGACAATGAGCGTAGAAACAAGGAGGTGGTCATAATGTTATGCCTGATCGATGTATATTTATTTGTTTATTTGTACTTATTCATTTATCTATTCATATGTATTTATTTATATATTGACAACTAACTAATAAATCAACTACACAGAAAAATGTATATTTCTTATTATTTGTTGTACACTGGTAGTAGTATTTTATTAAGTGTTACAGTACATATCAGATATTCATCCATTTCACTTGACCCTGCTCTTCACTGCAGCTTAAATCTATATTTTGCTGTCATTTGCAGCAGATATTTAGGAGGTGTTGTAAGTTGAAAAGAGAAACTATTATAATAATACTTGACCTGATTTTAAAACCCAAATATAAAACTGGTACAAATTGGGTTTTTACTTCTGTATTTATTTAACAAAACACATTTTCACTCTTTACTTCACTTCCACATTTCCATTTGAGTGCTCTTATTATGGAAAAATGAAATTAGTTTGCAAAATAACATGGAGAAATCTCTTCTGCTTGTCCTTAAAATGTAAGAATACCATATTACTGAAAGTCAGAAATGCAGGTATTGTGAAAATAAGTTACACATCATTTACAGAGATATGGCATTTCTCTGCAAATATTAGTGCTCAACTTCTGTTTATTGTTTATTTGAGTTTAACATACCGGAAAAATAGAATAAAATATAAAATGTGCTATATTTTTTGCACATGCCGCATTTTTTTATATTTTATATGTTAAATTCAGCAAATAAACAGTAATTGTGCATTAAAATGTGCAGACATTTGTTCTCTGTAGAGCATGTGTTAACTTATTTACACTTAGACAATCAACAAAAGCATTGCAATTCGAGCAGGGGTGCCTAAACTTTTGCACACGAGTGTAACATGCATCTTAAGATAACGTTACATAGTGCCGTTCACACCCTAAAATCTTTTTCTGTAAATATCCGCGGGTGAGGGGAATCTCATTATCTGCAAACAGGCAGATGAGGCCTGCACGAGCCAGCACTGATCGGCATGGATCAGCGTGAAATAATCTATCATCAGAGAGGGGGCAGGGGAGGAGAGCGCTGCCCTGGAACTGCCATCCAGCATACAAGCCAAAATATGGGCAATGCATCATTTCTAACCTTACATAACATCAGCTGAGTGACTTATGGGAAACAGTACTGCAGTAAACACTGACAGAATGACTTAAAATGTATGACTGCCACCTCAAAAAACATGCTTTGGGGGGAAATTGTTTCTGTAATTAGGGAAAATCTAGTTTTTCAAGCATGATCATAATGGTTCCCGAGAGATATTGGTGGGCAAAATGTGTTCCAAGTTGGAATTCTGAGCCTTTCTTTGCAGCACATCCACTGTATAAATCACCCAGACTAAGTTTGTTTACATATCCAGCTGCAGCGTAAAAGCTCACGGGGCCTGTAGTGTTATTATATAAATAAAGAGGCCCTCGCAGCTGATTTTGCTTTCAATCAAAGCAATTAGATCCAGTGAACAGCCGTAGAGCAGAGACAGATAGATCAGTAGGTACGGTATGAACCCATTATGTAATAGAGCGTCCCCGATGTGACTTCTGGCATTTGCTATTCAAGCTTCTGCAAGGGAAAATCAAATCAATCCGCCATTGACTCTGTCAGAGGTTGATGGAAAGCTAATTAAAAGCCCGAGGCATGGCTGGTCATTTTATGAGCGTGTAGTGTGAGCTGCCGTACAGCGCTCAAAGGCCCAGCACAGGACACATCAGGATAACACACTCACGTGCATGTGCCGGCCTGATTCGATGCTCTTGTACCCTTTTAACGCAACAAAAACGCTCACTTTTTTGTCCTAAAGCGGCTCCGTTTGGATGTGACATGAAGAAATGAACGACGTTCGTGCAAAAGTTTGCTTCAAAACCTTGTCGCATTAGACAAATCTTTATGGCATTGATGGATTGGGTTCAGATGGCCTGATGCAATCTGGTGCAAAGTCTTTCATTTGACATTGACAGGCCGCAAATGTAAACAAGATGGCAAGGCCCACACACAAACAAGGAATCAGCAGGGGGAAAGTGATGAAATAAAGGCAGATCGCATTTCTGAGCCCTGTGCTTTTCCACGGCGCGCTGCGGGTGGGAGTTAGGGATCATTGTTTTGGACAGGAGTGATATCCCTATTTGACAGACAGGGAGAGATGTGCAATTCAGTTAACTATGAAATCGGACATGACTCATTGACCAGCTCGTCTGGCTTTATGGATTACACATTAGATTAATCAAATATGATGGATATGTATGCTTATATAAGTTTGATATAGGTTTTTTTTCTACATTTGAGGCAGCACATTGCTTGAGACAGGATGCCAGAAGGAGCCGTAGGTGAACGACTACAGAATCTTTTATTATGCCGCATTGATAGTGAAAGGGGCACTCGGTCGGTTGGCATCCCAGGCTGACTTCACATGTATGTGTGGTGGTGGCAGTGGTGGGGACGGTGGGGGTGGTTAGTTGCTCTTTTCGGCAACTGCTTGATAAGATGTGCCATGGGGCATTGTCCAGGCAGTTTCAGATCAATTCCCACATCCTGTGAACTCTGCATGCAACAACTGTGGGGAACATTCACTGTAGCCATCGTTATGCGGAGAGAGAAGCCGTGTTTTTATACCGGGACCTTTACCACGACTCCATGGCTGTAAAATGACGAAATGAGTTTGTTCCTTGCAGAGAACATGTGCATCGTTCAACAGAGGAAAGCAAAGATCACTTCCTGCTGATATGTAAGTTGATGCTGTTTGTTTTGATGCAAAGGTTTGCATGCATCCTTTCTGTTTTCTGCTCCTCACAAAGCAGGATTACTGCCAAACATAAAGACTGTCCAGCAGGAATTTTGGACTTAAATAAAAAATCCCGCTTTGTAACATGCACCCTTAACTTTGCGCCAAAAGATATGCTTTTTTGTGAATAGTGAGAGGACAGGTTTGCAATGTTGTTGGGAAGAGGGTGGCCAACATTTCTCAACTATTTTTGAAGGTAGACACCAAATGTAACTTGCTTTCTCATGATAAATAAACACCTTTGTTTTGACGTAGCACGGACATGTGGCAGTGAAAAATGGGCGACTGGAACCTGCTGGGCAGCATTCTAGAGGAGGTCCACATTCACTCCACTATCGTGGGAAAGATCTGGCTGACCATCCTCTTCATCTTCCGGATGCTGGTCCTCGGCGTGGCAGCCGAGGACGTGTGGGTGGACGAGCAGGACCAGTTCATCTGCAACACGGAGCAGCCAGGATGCAAGAACGTCTGCTACGACCAGGCGTTCCCGATTTCCCTCATCCGCTTCTGGGTGCTACAGATCATCTTCGTGTCCTCTCCCTCGCTGGTGTACATGGGGCATGCCCTGTACCGGCTGAGGACCCTCGAGAAGGAGAGGCACCAGAGAAAAATCCAGCTGAGGGCGGAGCTAGGAGAGACCGAACCCTTGCTGGAGGAGCACAAGCGGCTGGAGAGAGAACTGCGGAAGCTGGAGGAGCAGAAGAAAGTGAAGAAGGCTCCTTTGAGGGGCTCCTTACTGCGCACATATATCATTCATATCCTTACCAGATCAGTGCTGGAGGTGGGCTTCATAGTGGGGCAGTATATCTTATACGGCATTGGACTGGATCCTTTGTACAAGTGCGAGAGGGTGCCTTGCCCAAACAGCGTGGACTGTTATGTCTCCAGGCCCACGGAGAAGACCATCTTCATGGTTTTCATGCTTGTCATTGCGGGGGTCTCTCTGTTCCTCAACCTTTTGGAGATATCCCACTTAGGGGTGAGGAAAATCAAGCAGACCCTGTCTGGCCTGCAGTACACAGAGGAAGACAGTCTGTGTAAGCCAAAGCTTGCACCAACCGTCCAGTCGCTCTGTGTAGTGGCGGATTCTTCGCCACACAAATCCGCACAGTTGAAAACATTCATCCCGACTGGGCACACGGACCTTCCGCCATTGTACTTAGCCAACACGTGTCTGAATCCCTGTGCCGATGGGCAAAGGCACAACAGCTTTGCTGACACCACCCTCCCTGTGTCTTGCATAACACAGCAGCCTAGGCAAACGCGTCAGCCCAGTCAAGGGATGATCCATGACCTGCGCTTTCGACTTCCGATGGAGCCGCACGTTGTTGAGGAGGATGCCGATGACCAACGTCCAGAAAGCAGCAGCGGTTCATGTGGGGACAGCAGACCTTCAAACTCATGTCAACAAAGTCACGAGGGTCTTCTCACCCAAAGGCCCAGTCATGCGGAGATACCGGCCTGCTTGCGCAACGCCCTGCACAGGCCAAGCCATGTGCCAGATCTTGTGGATGATGGCAAGGACTCCACGGACAGTGAATTACTGTACCCCAACCCCAGGAAGGCCAGTTTCATGGCTCGAATGCCCTCGGACAGCATGTCGGACAGCCCGTCTTGTACTCCCACAAGAAGCTCTGAGTCCGAGCTGGGCTCCCTCACTGACCTTCCTATGAACCCACCACCAGGGGGACGGAGGATGTCAATGGCAAGTAGAGCCAAAAGACACATGACTACTGATTTGGTCATTTAGAGGCTTGTGTCCTCAGCTGTTGTAATTCAGTTCTCTGTGAGTAACAACTGTTAGACTAGACTAGTTTTAGAAAACCATTCATTGATCATTTGCAAGCATAATAATTCATTTTTATCAACGCTATTACAGAGGAATGCTTCCAAAAAAGTTAACATAAAGTTGGCACTATGTTTCTAAGCTGTTGTACAACGAGCCAGTCGAGATCCTTAGTAGAAGTATGATGTATAACGAGGTCTACAGTGCATAGTCAACTTAGGCCTCTTCATTGGTTTGGTTGCACGTTTCATCTGTGAACTGAAGCGGGTCTTCTTTTGTCTTTCAGAGCGTATTCTTGGATATCTCTTCCATCATGAAGAAGTGAGAGCAAGGAAGAGAGGAGAAGACCACAGGAATGTAAGAGGCCACGCATGAGCAGAACTAAACGGACGGAGTTATCAACAACGTTTAGCGTGACTCTCCACTGCATGGCTGCGAAAGCAGTGGTTCTAACACAGGAGAATCTCCTGCAAGGATGAGGTATATGGAGTGCTGTTGTATACATTTTCTTTTTTTATGTTAAGCACCTTAAAATACCTGTAAAATCACAAAGTGAACAACTTTCACCATTGCCGACTGCTGAAGACAGAAGAAAACTGCACATCAGGAAGGCCTCAGACCAGAGAGTGTCGGGGGGAGCAATGGGGGCTCTTAGCTGACACCCATTAAATGTGATGCACTGTACATTTTGTGCCATTATGAACAAAATAAATTTTGTTTTGATTTCCACGTTTTTCCATTTGTCATTGTTACCTTGGACTGTCAGGGTGGGCAATATGACAAAAATGTAAAAGTATAATACTTGAAGATTTTTGTAAAAAAAAAAAAAACAACAAGTGGGTCAATGACAAACAGCATTTCGAAATGCTAATTTTAAACACTTCTTAATAAAAAATGATCAAAAATAAAAATTAAAAACTTTTTTTGAATCTGTAAGAGATGGCAATAAGTGTTTCACAGCTTTTATAATGTTCTAAATCATTTTTTATTTTATTTAATTTTACTACCAAGAAAATATCGCTATTGTTGGAACAAAACCTAGTATCTCCAAAATGGTAACTTTACAGAAGAAGGAAAAAACATACTTTACGTTTAACGTAAGTTAATGGAAGCAGAATTTTTTACAAGTAATTTTGGGTCATTTCTTTTGACCCATTCTTCATGAAATTTACAAACATTGTAAAGGGCAAAGGTTCTTTCAAATTGTGTCAAAAACTAACTTAAAAAAATATAGTATGTATATATATATATATATATATATATAATTTATTTCTTTTTTTAAGTTAGTTACTGCTACTAAAAACATGTAAAAACTAGTCTTTGTACTTTGACAGAATTATAAACCTTTGTCCTTAAAGGTTATACAAATCTTTCTGTTTAAAATACAAATATTATTATAATAATAACATATTTTCATGTTTTTTCTAGGGTCGCGCATCTGACTTTGTGAACTGAACCAGTCTAACCAATGACTTAAAAAAAGAAAATTGTGAATTTGCTACTAACACTGGCTCTGCACCATTAACATCACTTAGGGTCTTCTTTATGATTCAATACCCTGCCCACTTTTTCATACAAGCATGTCAGAATAAAAGTCCTTTGTTTTCAGTTGTGCTGAGTGACATTTGAGGAAATCAGAAGTTAATTACTTTTAAAGCTACCCTATTGTGCAACATGTTGTGATTTTCAAATTTTCAAACATAAAATTATGCCAAACTATTTTATTTAGAATTTGATATGACAACCTTTTTTAATAGAGTACCTAATCTGCATGCATGGATGGACGGTCACACCACAATTTTAGACTCTGGGAGGCATAAATGCCTAAAATTAATTTTATTTTGATGCCCTTCAAAAAGATTTCACATAAAGGAGGTTGGAAATTAATGGACTTGAAAAATGCAAATCATGTCATTGACCCATGGATCATGAGATTGAAGAGAAACAGGAGGAAAAAATAAAACTGGTAAAAACGAATGAATAAAATAACAGTGTGATGGGCTGCCATCCAATCATCTACTTGTTACTATGTAGTTTATAAAGTTATACGGGTTGTTGTTGTTTACGGATCTCTAGAACTGATCTAAAATTTGGTCTTTTTATCATGCAGGAAGCTGTTTGGTGTTCTAGAAGTACTGATGATACCAAATATATATTTAGAAAAGTGATGTAATTTATCATGTTATCATGTTCTGATGCAATGATATCATGTCATCATATTGCCCACCACTACACAACTGTGGATTTTCTAATTATGCAAAATCGTAACCACACATACGCTTTACAATCACATTATTCACTATACGATTTTATTTAATTTCTAAAAAAAACATTCCACCATAAACAAACTGCAAAACAATGAGTATCCAAACACTGAGATCACGACTTTAAACATTCAATTAATAATCAAGAGCAGAGAACTGACTGATATTTGGAAGAACCCCACAAAATAGCTATAAATAACAAGGTATTTACAAACTTATACAAAAACTGAAAAAGAAGCTGCAAAATATCTGCTGAAAACGCTGTAAACCACACAGGTCTCGACCGTATGTGAGAGGTATATAGATTTGTCTGTATTGAGGCTGTACTCTGTCCACTGTATGTAAACTCAAAGAATATCCCGCTTTACAAGCTCAGTTCATATCATAACCTTGGCACAAGAGATTTCTAAGGCAAATCCAAAGATGTTCAACAGTCTATTGAAGAAAAGCCCAATTGCATTTACATTTGTCAACATTCAAAAGGACAGTCAAGGTTATTCTGGGATGTTTTTAGTAGCCAAATATACCACCATACCAGTTATACTAAACTCAAACGCATGAGACTCAAAATACTGCAATCGTTCTCTTCATAAAAGTCCCAAATAACTGAGATAGAGTCAATTAAATTGTCAGTTTTTGTGCAACAAGAGTAAAATTCAAGCCTTTATCTACATTACCATTCAGAAGTTTGGAACCACTTCAATATCATTCAATAATAACTTGGTATAAAATTTAAATGTTAGACCCCAAAATGTAAACTGACGGTTTATTCACAATTTAAAGGGCTTATATCCTACATTTTCCTGTCTATTTAATTTTCCCCCGATGTCCATTTATTATGTTTGTGTGGCTTCATGTACTAAAAACATAAATACAAAATACAAAAATATTCATTTTTACACAACTATTTCCCAACCTCTCTATGCTAAACTTATGCTTAAGTTATAACACCCCCATCCAATGACATAAGTCAATGCATCCTTTACAGGGAACAAACTTAAATATGGCATTGTTATGCAAATTTAGTGCACAGTTTCTATTTATTTGCTTAATTTATCATATTGGAACAACATAAAATATGAAATGTACCATAACCTTTGCACGGGCCTGTATTTTATGTTAAATTCAGCAAATAAACAGTAATTGTGCATTAAAATGTGCAGAAGTGCGTCTCTGTAGAGGACGTGTTCACTTATTTACACTTAGAAAAAACCAACAACAAGTCATTTGACCAGGGGTGCACAAACTTTTGCACATAACCATATGTGAATAAGCTTTGTCCAAAAAAGAAGTCCTGGCTGAAACAAACCTTGCAACTTCAGTGTGACTGCTGGAGGCTGCAGAGGTAAATGTGACTTTTTTGTGACATCACAAAAACATGACGAATTAAAAACAGGCTTTTTTTTGCAGGTTAGTTTCGGTTTATGAGCTGTATGGAGTGAACGGTACATTCTGAAACTTTAACATTTTTCATGTACAGCATCAAATTTTCCAAAATGTGAGCATTTTTTTCCATGCTATGGACCCTTTAATGTATTTTGAGAACAATAAGATGGGAACAAATAGCTACATTACTAAAAAATAAACTGAAATTATCTATATATTATGATTTCTTTCCACAATTGCCATGTATAGCGATTCGATCAGCGTCAGCTTTTTGATAATGAGGCATTTTGGATATTAATTTTAAAAAGCTCAACAGCTTTTTCAATTCTAATTAGGTCTTTTATTATGTAAAACAGTGATTCCAAACTTTTGAACGGCAGGGCAGCTTTGATAAATGAAAGAAAATGTAATAAACTGTGATAGACAGCACAAATGTGCCAAACTAACTCCATAACAGCAACTTGCCATGGTCGTATTTTAATTCCAGGGGCTGAAATTAAATTCTGCTTCACTTTGCGTGACGGAGCAGCAACATTTCACCAGATTAATGCTTATCAATGTCACGGCAGACTGAAGGCGAAGTGTTAAAGTAAGCAACAGTGGGTAATTTCACGACGCAGAGCATGTGTGGTAAGATTTCTCTCCTTTCTGTGATTACGTGACCCTACAGGTAGATTTTGAATCAACCCCTGAGAACATACAGAACAGTGGAGTTCTTTGTGTAGGTGAGAGCTGCCAAAATCTACAGTATCAGCACTGTTTCAATGGAGATGTCTTTGCTTTCTGTGTCCCTGAAGCAGCTCATTTGTGGATGTCAGAGAAATTGCTTTCTATTCTGTAGCAGCACTCAATAATCAAGACCTACTGCATCTGCGAGTGTGGACGAGGTCTGCAAGATTAAAAAGGAGGTCAAATAAATGAAAATAAACTGATGTAATGTGGCTCATCCTGGCTCAGGAGCTAAAACTCTGGACTAAAAAACACAGAAGAGCTTTAATCAGACCAACCAGTAATGCAAGAAATGAGAATAGATATTAGAAATGATCAAAAGCGAAAGAGCTTCTACTCCGCCTCTGTCGACCTGATGCTAATTGTTTCGAGGGCTCCCTACGCTGCGACTGAACCACTTTCATAGAAGCGGATCATCTGCTTGACTACGCAACCCTCTTTCCTCATTATTCTCTCCTTTCTTCCCGCTCTTTCTCATTCCTTTTGCCTTCGTCTCTTCCTCATACCGCACACAGGGAATGCTTTGTGGAAAAATAAATGAGTTTGTGCAGCGAAAGTACAGAAAACTCCCCCCCCAAAAATATC